CACGTTGGAAAGCTGCGGTAGGTTTACGTCATAAGTAGAAGAATTTTAGATCGTTTCAGTTTTTGCTGGATCTTGGTCTTGTGTTGTAATTCGACACGCTGATCAGATAGCCACCCTCCCGCATAAAAGAGCATTTTTCGTTAGAGTGCGATTTTCTATGCGCAACAAAAAATAAGATGTTCCTGTTCAACATGTCGAATTACCACTTTGTGCGAAATTTTGGCAAATCGTGAGGTTTCGCAGCTAAGTTATTGACGGATGCCTCTCCAAATTTGACGCATTCGACTTGTTCAACATCTCGAAAGCGACACTGATCTGTTTTGAAATTCCATCTCTTTTTTGCTGAGCATAATAATTCGACATCTCGCAACATCGTGCCTACATTTCCGTCTTAACGAGTTTGATTCAGGCTGTGCACGGCTTCATCCAAAAAAAACCTGCAAGACCTCGATTTTTAACCGTTTTGTAAATGCTTCAATTTTCCCTATTATGTTAGCAAAAAAATTTGCTCAGACTTGCAGATTACATCGCATTTATATAATACCGAAAAACTGAGGGGGCAATATTTAGAAAGAAAAGTTCTGGGGGAAGATGCAAGACTTATGTGCCATCCTAATACTTGAATGATTGAAATTGAATCTGTAATCCAAAAAAACCTTGTAAAAACAATATACTGGGGTATGGCTCCCGCCACCCCCTCTTTCTACGAATTCACGGTTGTGAACCCCAAAAATTTGAGAAGCATCCTGAAAAATTTCCGGAGTGAGTGGTTAACTCTCACTCCCCCTCCCCCCCCCCCCCACCCTTTCTCCCCCCAATAAAAAATGGAAATACGGGTGCGCCACTGGGCGTAACTTATGATTAATACAACGAGTAAGGCGGGGAGACTATCTTGCATATTGGTCCTATAGCCAATAGCTCCTCAGTAAGTTAGATTGAAATTATCCTGAGAGCTTTGCTTTTTCGAAAGGCATACGTATTAGGTTGGAAACTAAGTTTTGCAACTACTTCAATAACTTTCTTCTTTTTCAACATGGCGCACCCAAAGTTTGCCGCAATGTGGATTATGATGCTAGCCACAAAAACAGCTGCTCTTCTGCCAAATTCTGACATCGCGGTGAGGGTTACGGTAGGTATAAGGTACAAAAGAAAAAATTACAAAATTTCACGGATTTGGCTGAAACTGAGCATAGGGGGGGGTGTTCAAAATGTTAACCACGAAAACAATGCTATTGCATGATAAGGGCTTTTTTATAAGATTACCAGGCTCAAGCGTGGTGTGCGGCACGCCTCACTTGGGGGGTCGTATTAAGGAGTCAAAAGGGGAGGGGATCGTAGTTGGGTAATCTGATAATAGTGATAACATGGTATTCGTATCATATCCATAATTAGCATGTCAGTTAACCCCTGTAGACAAAGTGTGATCGAATTCTGAAGATTCAAGATACTAGGCTACCTAAATGAAATGGTCAAATTCCAACATGGTTAACTTTGTTTCAAAGGTGAATTAGCTATCCGTTTTTGCACTCAAGACAAAGCACCACTCCTTCTTTGTCCACCTCAGGAATCCCGCTTCAGAAGACCTCCAAACTGTGGAATTAGAAGCCAACCAATATCTCGTTTTTCCCATTTTTCGCTTTTAATGGCTGTGCTTCACCAAGTATTACTCAAAGCTAAGAAGACGAATCAGGCTTAAAACATCCCTACGGAATCTACGAGTTTAGGCTATCGATTTATATAAATACTGTCCGCTAAAAATGTTTTTTTGATATAGTTAATGGGGTATGCCGCACCCCCCTAACTTGCCTTCAAAATCCAGAAAGCGCTCCATTGCTGGTATGAATATTGAGCACATAGCTTCTTCTTGCTACCTTGGGAATTTGGAGCCGAACGCCCCACTCATAAGAAAATTATGGCCCCTTCAATATGCCCATTCAGATCAAAATCAGCCGTCGAATTACGTGTGATTGTAAAGTGCAGTCACAGAAAATCGGGCGTACAGCTCTCAGAAATCTGAAAACTCTCTAGAAAAAAATGGTGTCCTCCAGAATGTCACACTTTGAGGTCCAGAGGTTAAGAGGAGGAAGAAGGGGTCGTTTAAGGGCTTTCATGGGAGGGGGGGGGGGGGGTTCGAAAGACTTGTGCCTGACCTCTTTCTCAACTCTGGTAATGCTATCTTAGGTATATAGTTTAGGGGGGGGGGGGTCTTATTAAGACAGCAATCAGGGGGGGGGGTCGTAAACAACGATCGTGTGCCACATCCCTTGCTTGACCCTGAAGATTTCTCTAGGTTTACGTATGGGGTCTCGCCTTAAACAAGTAAAGAGGCGTTATTTCAATTATCGAATATGATATTCGTGTTTGGCACGTCGAATAACCCCCTCGGTGAAGTCTCAGCGGATTTTAGGGTTCCAGCGCTTTGTTGTCCACACCACTCTTGCGTAAAGCGTCTCGTTCAACTTTGTGAGAGCGCCACAACTTGACTTGTCTTTCAATTCTATTCATTTTCTACTGAGCCAAATGAGTCAACCTCTGGCAAGATCCACACACAATTTTGGATCATTATGCATGATCTGGCTTGCAGATGGCTTGATTTTCACTTGTAGTCCCAAAAATACTCGAAATTCGCTAATTTTGAAAAATGCCTGTGATTTTTCTAAGTCGTGATCAAAAATCAAACAGTCTCAATCTGTATCATAGCAGATGCAGCACGAAACCTGAATATTCCTTCAACCACAAATTTCCGAATACTTCCACTTTACATCAGCAGTGATGAGTATTTATAATGGGTAATCGTCAATGTTTTACAACATTCCAGCACCATCAGGCAAGGGAATGTGAAGCAGCAGCAGTCTGAATTAGTCACGGGTGATAAAAAGGGTAATAAAAGCTGAGGGAAATAATAATTCAACGGATGGCACTTTGACGATACCTAGGGTTGATCCAACGATAAATGTAGTGTCTCTCGGAGCCGACATTTGCTGACAACATTCGCGCGTGAACAACTTGTTACGCTTCTGATGCTAGCAATTCGCGCGTGCAAAATGACCGCGAAACGCAATTTTTCAGTGTACACGCAAACGTTTTCAGCAGATGCCGACACAGTTATGCTGCTATATTTACCGACAAATTTACTACTTTATATGTTCTTGGCACGCTTAACCAAGAGCAAGCATAGAGTATGAAGAGCGGCTGGAAAGGTACGATAAAGAATTTTTTTCGGATAAAGGTGCATGGCGTTAGCCACGCACTCCGGGATTTCTTTAAATTTTTCTCAGAATTAGAGCCCAGAACCCCGTTTTGGGGAAAAAGGGCGTGGCTGCCGACGTTCCCAAAAGAATTTTTACGAGGATAATTTGAATTCTTAGAAAATCTTTTAGAACTTGTCCAATATATTTTAAGTACAAACAAGTCACCTGCTCATTTTTATAACTAATATAGGTAAATTATAAAAACTTCGCGGCACCCTCACTGTGAATAACTTTGTAGTTGGAAGCCATCTTTTCGGTGATCATAGGATGAGAGAAGTTCTCAGATTGAAGTGAAGTGGGTTAGCCATTTTTCATGAATAATCGCTCATTTCCAAGTTCAAGTAAAAATCTTGAGGCAAGACTTTTTAATGCAGTGTTTTCTTTCTCCAAAATTACTTCGCAGCACTCGCTTAATCAAACCAAAAACTGTGGAACGAGATTAGCAGATGTTGACGGAAGAATCCTTTTGCATTTTGGCATCTACACCATCAGTCACAAGGGTAGGGGAAGGGGGCAGTAGAGTCATTCTTTGCTCGAATCGTATGCTCTGCGCTGGTTTCTTCGTTCTCACAGTTTAATTAAGTAGCATAATTCTCCAGCAAACTAAAGAACTACCACCGCTTGATAGGCCCCATTTGCAATGCATCTTCGCATTTTTGATCAACCCATGGCAAAGAATGCTTTTGAGAATATAGTAAAATGGCCCGTTTCTCAACAATTCTCTCATATAAAAAAAGATTTATCATAGAGTACATAACCACTCAGTATCCGAAACACTTTTTCTCTCTAAAGTAGCACTTATGCACCGGTACAGTGGACTTCCCTCCTTCTAAAGAATCGCAAAAATTCCAAAAATAGTCTACACGTCTAAAACGAAAGCGGCTGCATCTTTCACTTAGAAAATATAATAGTGTATAAGTATGGATGAAATCGGTTGATTTATGCAAACTTTACGGACATAAAAGTATTAGTTAAAAATGATAAAAAATTATTATTCAAAAGCTTACATCAAGTTTGTGAATAAAATTTCCCTAAGGGAGAAAATTTGTTGTCCCTCTTCAAATTTCTATATTGTCGCAATGGAATCTTTGAAGTTATGGAAAGCACATCTTTCACTATTTTTTTGACATGAGTTGGCAAAACTTTTATCCTTCCTATGTCGAAACACCTAAACCGCATAGTTTTTAGCCTTCTCAATGTTTCCTTCCTATCTTTCTTATGTTCCAATAACAAAAAAGTGTATTATTGATTATACTAAGGTAAGTCTTGAGTCAGCACACTTTTTTTCATCTATAAAAGTCCTTATAAATTCTAATACCACAACCAAGCAACTTAATTTTTTTTGGACTTTGTCATTTATGTAAGGTTTCATAATAGAGACACATGATCCTACCAAATATCCTCCTCGAACGTTTCTGTCGCCAAAAACCCGTGAAGATAGATTTCAGCGAAGTCGTATCAATTTTCCTTAAGGAATCAGTAAGGTATCTCACGTTGTAATACATTCATTCATGAATGCTTCACAGCCAACTATAAAAGCACAGACACTGTAAAAATGTAAAGAGATTTTTCACTATGATTCTCAAGTCCTCTATTGATTTGCATTGTTATCAATTACATGATAAGATTTGAAACACATAAAATCCATATGCTCCGCTCAGACGATCAACCCCCGTTCACGACAAAAAAGTCGGATTACGCAAAATTTTGAACTCGGTTCTGTTTCATATGACGTCAGCCGTCAGCTGTGCATGTTTCATTCCACTTTATCACATACCGGAACTCGGCAGCAGAAAACATTGGTGTCTTCACATCACAAAAATTATTACAGACTTGAGGTTTTAATGAGACAGAAATACTGTTAACAATCAGATCGGCGTCTATTCAGCATGGAATCATTAGTCGCTGTCATCTGCGCTGGTAAAATCGAATGGTTTGAATCGTTCTTGGAGTTTCTTGGCAAGCTTCGTTTCATCTTCCTTGCTGAGAGCACATGCTCTCCAGTCCACTTTCTCCTCACAGTTCAGAATTGCTCGACTGGCAAGCACCTAAAAAATATTACTAATCATACAACTTGAAATGTTGATATTTATGTTAATATACCTCTCTTCCGAACTGCAATGGAAAATCTTTCATCTGTCGTGTGAACAGCCTTGAACCATCTGGCAATTCAACAAAGAAGTATGGGCACCCTTCATTCACTAGATCCGTCAGCTGCAATAGCGAACAATGATAAACTTACAGCACTGCTAGAATGCGCCATAAAAAAAGTTTTTCTCTATAATTTTGTAAACATATTCGCTAGGAGGAGAACGCGTAAGCATAGTAGAAGCATTTTTTTTCGGTTACGGTGCTGCAGGTCTACAGAAGCTAACATACATAATGATAATGCAAAGTAAACCAAAGGACCAACCTGGTCATTCTCATCTATTGCGGTAAGCTCAATGCCAGCCAGACTAGCAGCGTTGAAAAATGCGCCTCGGAGAGCCTTGACGGTAGATTTTGGAACGGGCACCATTTGCACTTGTAGATGTTGTGTACGGTAGTTCCGCTCGAAACACAACAAAGACTTGCCAGCCTGGATTGAGAATAAATAACGCAATGAATTAAGAAATCTAGGATATACGGAATTTGCAGCAGAATGATAACGTCGGCCAGCTGTGGAAAGATACGCTTCTATTTGTATTGTGAAAACAGCGCAATCGCAGTCAAAACAAAAGTAAAATGTAATGTCTACAAGAATTCCTTGGAATGTTAAATTGAAAATTCTTTTACAATACCTACCTTGTCCGCTGCCAGAGTGAATGAATTTTTGAACTTTTGTAACTCGTTTCTCACATCCTCGGGTGCAGCAACTATTGACTGTATGTGTCCTAAGCATATAGCGATATCACCGAAACATAGCAAATACTCTCTCCAGCACTCACCTACGCTTAAAACCATGACATGATCCTCTACAAGCGGACCTTTGGGCATGGCCGCATAGCACACATCTCCGACTGCTACAACGAGATGCTTTTCAACGTCAACATTTGACAAGCAAAACCAGCATGGAGCAGCAGGAACCTTTTCGCCAGTCGTATGATCTAAAAAAGATATTTTTCTTGTCTAAAAATATTCCTCTTGGCTATGAGTGCTCACAGGACCAAACAATAACGCTTGTTCAACATTGAAAATTTACTCTCAAAGTTAACTAACAATAAATTGCTCACCATTTCTTCTCCGCTTTCTACCTCCTCGGTCTACGTTGTCCTCAACTTCTGCAGACATATCAAACCGATAACGATCCACATCGTCATGATTTTTTGTTCTTTTCAGCTGCTCACTGAAATCGACAATGGGTAACAAGGCGAACAGTTTTAAAATTCAACACTCACGCGGCCATAAGTTCTTGCAAAATGTCCATGTAAGGAAACTCTGAGGAGTTCGGCGGCTGAACTGTGAGTTCTTCGCGACTCATTTTCCGCATCGGCTGCAAAATCATTATATGGAAAGAATAATACACCTCCTTCCACAGCACAGAGGTGTGAATCAGACATTTGTTTTTGTCCTCCCGTCACCAAGCAGCCAGAACGTACATAATGGGTCCATTTATATTTGGGAGGTTAATCCAGATACCTTTGGATATGCTTGACAACTGTCAAAGACGCGAATTTTCCATGAGACTAATTCAAAATTGTAGAAAAACGTCCACTTTCAGGTTAAAAAGTGCTTAGCCACTACAGGCAAGCTCTCAAAACCATTTGACTTACTAAAAAGTTCGAACCACAGACAAATAGGCACTGGTCTGCAGCGAGCTTACCAAATAGCAAAAAAAAACTGGATAAACATACCTGAATATTAAAGGCATATAACCACTTCTGCTTCGCTTTATTGTTTACAGGAGCCAATCCTATGAAACGAGTGGTGTGCTGCGCAGGCTCTAGCAGCACACGGTGATTTCTGGATAAAACTGTGAGATTAGTCTTCCAGACTAGTGGACCGGTAATTAAAGGGGCTAGATTGCATTCGCGCGCTTTGGGACCGCACCGCGGTTTCCCGCTATGTGCACATTTTTGAATTGCGCTTACGATTCTTTATATATTAGACTAGTGAACCAGCAATTGAAGGTGCTAGTAGCATGCGCGCGCTACGGGACCGCCACGTGGTTTCCCGCTATGCGCACATTTTTGAATTGCGCTTGCGATTCTTTATATATTAGATACTAAAGCTGTATGAGAAGAACATACCTGTATGGCTGCCGTTCATAATGCACACCCGTACCAGCAAAATGGTAACGCGGCTTAAGACCAGAAGCAAGGCGTGATACTAGTTTTGAACCTTTTATCTGTACTGATGGCGTATTGTGAGCATGTTTCCAGACCTAGGTACATAGATTTACAAAAGCCAAAAAGAGAGGCAATCAACAGTACCTCTGCTGGCCATATGGAGGTTACTAAGACATCAACTCCCAAAAATCCAGCTTGATTTCGAACGGGCATTAATAACTCCTATCAATTAGACAGAATACACTAATTTTTTCGGGCCGCTACGCCAGCTTGACGCAAAATCATGCAAAGACAGAAGTTTTTACCTCAATGTCGTCTTCACTGAACTGATAGTTGCTAGAACTAGGACCCTCTATACCACTGAGATAAGCTATCTGCAAACCTACAAGAACGAATGACCAAAGAAATATGAAAGTACTATTATATGAGCTCACCACTTGCGGTATTCAATATACCACGTTTCCCAAGGTACGTAATACTTGAAGAAAGCTCGACAGACTCATCAGGGCAGAATGAGGATGTAGAAGGAGAACAAGGACCTAGAATGAGGTTGCACCTTTCACAAGCATGAAGAAGCCTTCCACTGGAGTTTTTGGTTGTGCAAAAATTAATGGAGGTTGTACAGACCTAAAACATAAGTTGGAACGATAAAATCGAGTTTGCCATTCAGCACGTCCTCATTTTCTTCTGCATTTGTACCGAAAAACTCGCCAACACAAAATAACAGATCAAACGGTCCATTCTGAAATGCCATAAGGTTGCCGAGAGACCAAATTAAGAACATACGGAAGTCTTGTCACATGTTGGGAAAGAAGTCAAGAATGCAAATGATGGAGAGAATGATTATATAGCCGTCATGTTACCAAAAACAACATTGAAGTGCGGATACTTAGAACCTAGCAGGCCGAGAGGAAATCAATCGTATACCTTCGAACTGATTGCCGAAATTTTCTTGGCTAGCTGGTCGAACTGCCCTCTAACATCGCCAACGCATAATACGCGTGCTTGATCTTTAGACATCTGTATTTTCTTAAGATCTTATAAGACTCAATTAAGGACCATTTTGAAATATGACCAACAGATCTCATATGTATTTGCACGAAAAAATAGATTAAAAACGATAATATTTATTACAGTCCCGTGACATTTCAAATGTATTCTAAAGGCGTACTATGTACCATAATTCTGGAATGGAGACGAAAAGAAAAAACTGGGACGCTAACCACACATAAGTGTAACAAATAAAGTTATCAAATGTACACGTATCAGGATGAGGTCATATGAATCGCGCAGAAACCGGATCAGTCATCAATAGAGTCATGTGCTTGCTTATCAGTGCCAGGACAATAATCTTCAAGTTCTTCTTGACGATCAAATTGGCAGCCACACCATATACAGTAGAGATGCGCTGTCCGAAGATAGCATGTTATTTGGCTCAACCTGAAGCCAAAAATCTTGTAGATGTAAAAGAAGACTGGTAAGTCCATGACATTGTCAGACTTACTTATTGAACATGTATGGCAAAAACAAATCCTGTAAACTATCCACATACCTTTCAAGCAGCTCATCGTCACCGAGTTCATCAAAGCGTTCCTCAGGCGGTGCCTCTTTACCATTAGCATAAGAATACCTGAATGAAGATGGAGCCTAGGTGCATGTACTCGACCCATAACACAAGTAGAAAGAAAAAAGAAAGTAAGAAAGTAAAAATAGGGTGCAAAAACTGTTATGCGAGTGCAAAAGTAGCGAATTTTCGCAAGGATAGTTGATACAGACCTTGCTTCTATATCATCAGAAGAACCTTGTCGAAGATGTGGATCCAATGCATCATCTGCATCACGCTGCTTGTAACTTTTCCAAAACCATGGCTGCTCGGGAAGTTCGACGTTTGTCCGAAAAAGTCGACGAACATTAGCAAAAGCCCGAAAACGCTTGGAGTAACAAACTAACCGTAAGTCCAGTTCAACACAGACTTTCCTACTTGCAATAATATCGCGTATCAAATCTTTCGTATTGACCATCTCACGTTTTCGTTTTTTATAATCGTCAATCAACTCTACCTTAAGTGCAAAAACAACATTTTCCCAAGACAAATATTTAACAGAAAACTTACAGTTTGTGCTGCTCTTCTCTTCATTCTATCCATCTGCTCCCTTAATCTTTGTTTTGCCTGATTTTCTTGTTCGCTGTCGTGTCCCAAACCAGTCCGAGAAACCTTCACTTCGAGTGTTATTGGTTCCTTGATCCCTGAACCAAGATCCTTTTCTGGAAAATATGGCGTTTCTTTGTTAGCGAATGTTTGGGACATTCAAGGAAACACTGATTTTGGTATAAGTCAGAGCCTACAAAAACAATATAGATATGGTTACCGTCTTTCTTCTTTCCTAGACTCATCCCAGGTTTGAACCCCATTTTTGCCATAAGAGCAAAACCCTTGGATGTTTCCGGCACTGGCTTGCTCAAAGCCTCTTCCCGTATCGCCTTTTCTGAAATCAAGTTTGTTACAATGCGCATTCGTTTCGGATTGTTTCTTTATAATAAATGCGTAGTAGAAATCGGATACAGTAGATACTGCTGAGTCGCGACCGCACGGACTGACCGCAGATTGTGGAACGCGCGTGGATCCGTAAAGATATTGTTTCGATTTCTACTAGCAATTTATATTGGTACAATGGTCCGGCTCGCGGCGCATGCACGGCGATCTACGATCAGTTCGCGCGGTCAACAATTTGAATGTACACGCAAAACAAAGCGACAATTTTTTGCATTCGACCTAACATGCAAATATAGGAATATAAGGGTACTTTATGTGATTTTGAAGAGTATAAAAATTTATGATGGATCATCTCATGATTCTAAAAGCATGATCTGAGAACACTGTTACCTAGCTCACGTTTCTTTGGCTTTGCGAAGTCTTCCCTGCGAGCTCGTACTCGTTCACTTTCTATTTTGAGCATTCGTCTATGTTCTGCACTGATTGCAATACCTGAAAATTGATATAAAGATTGGATGAAATCTTGTACCTTGTTGATGTATTTTTCTTTGCAGGCAGGTCATTCCAAATATTTATAATATTACCTGGCTTCACATCCTGAGTCATTGCCAAAAAGTTATCAGACATGTAGTCGTCCTCATCATCGGCCATCGTGTACTACCAAATAAGCTTAATAAACACTGTTGCGAGTAAGCAATTTTGATAAGAATGCTTTGTTTCTTAACATCTTTTCCAAACTGAGAAAGTGAGTCTAATGTTTATCATTCAATATGCGTGACATTAAAATTACATGTACCAACACGTCACGAATTCTAATATAAGAACGGAATAAGTTCAAAAGATTTAGTAACGTTTCATAATCAGATTTACTGGCAAGCAAAAGCAAGCCAAAAATTTCCTCTTAAATAGAGAATGGAAAAGAGATTATTTGCGAATAAGAACACAACTGATACAAGAGATTTCGAATAATTTATCGGACAGCAAGCCGCGATTTGGTGTAGGTATCATTCTATGCATCGTCGTCATCCTGCAACTAGTTTATTCATACGAACAAAAAAATAAATAAAAAAATAAAGACATACAGCTTAAAAGTAATTTACCTGACGAACAATGCGTTTCGCTTTTGAACTCTGATCTACAACCACTTCTAGACCACTGCTATGTTCATGATCGCTTCCTGAAAATGTCACTTCAACGATAGAGAATTATGAAGAGTAAGAAAGATGCTGGCCGCAGCTCAGAAGAAAAACATAAAATAATGGTAAATGATCATGACACGCAACATTCCTCCACCTCATATGAGGGAAAAAGTTGGCAAGATCGGTGCCGTCTAAGAGAAGTAATAGTAAAAGATAGCCTTGGTCATCTTTGATGACTACATTAAGGTAAACCAACAAGCTTACCGCACTAATAAGGAATGCTACCTAAATTAGCTGGGCCTTTTGGCAAGGGACATATATATTCTGAATCAGCTTCGAACGCTGATTCCAAATATGCTATTTTAGCTGCAACGCGCCATTCCGAAGCGAGTTATGGGCTTTTTCCTGCGCAAAATTGGCATAATACTGAACATGAGAAGACTGTCTGTAGAGAAAATCTGCAAGAAAAAGGTGCTGAGGTATCGATAGTACAAATCCAATCTTTTTTCACTAAGAAAAAAGCTTAACGCAGGTGTATCAGCACTCAAATGATGATGACGTGATGCCATTGAGTCGATGAGTATGCCAATTTTACGCAGGAAAAAACCCATAACTCGCCTCGGAATGGTACTTGACAGCTAGGAATAGCATATTTGGAATCAGCGTTTGAAGCTGATTCAAAAAGTATATGCCCCTTGCCAGCAGGCCGAGCTAAGTTAGGTAGCTTCCCTTGTAAGTCATAAAAGGCAAAATCCGCTGCGAGACAAAACATTACGACGTTCAAACATTCTCACCATCATCTCCTTCAAGTTCTATGAACTTATCATGAGTCCAAAGCCCATCAGCAGCGGAACGTGGACCGAACGACCTTCGCGGACCTGCGTCGCGATCTCGTCGTTCATACTAGGAGCATGTGCATAAGTGACCGAATGCTTGAACTCGCGATTCTGAAATCTAACCCTGTCCCTTCCATATCCACGAAAACCAGAAAGGCGATCACGCCTTGGACCCATATCAATTCGCGGGTCATATGCGCTGCGTCCACGCCACTGCTTTTCTTCTCCTCTATCGTCATGCTGAAAATGCTTGCAAACATTGAGCGCTAAAGGTGACTTATGTAACTTACGCCAAAATAACTTTTTCCCTTCGGCACTGCCGTAGGATCGATCAACCTCTGTACAGGCTTATCTCCATCCTCATCACGGAATTTCCCTGCAAACTCATCCTAAAGTAAAAAGGCGGCAACATTTCGTCGACACTTACCATTGAATCTACTACCATCAACATCACGTTCGCGGCTAGCCTCGAACCTATCGCGCCCCTGACGATCAGAAAATGTGAGACGATCTCTCATTGCCTGCCTTAATTCGGAACTATAAATATTGGAAAAGAAATTGCACGACAAGACAGTACCTGCCACCACCATGGAAGCCACCCATTCTATCACCATCGCTGCGCCTCCTGTCGCCGTATCCTCCAATCCTGAGATGCGAACGATGATAACACTGTACTGAGTGCAAAAACTTGCGGGAATTTTCCCAAATTATTGCGCGCAATTGGATTTGCAAATAATGCTTCAGCCAATCTCAGGAATTAGCTTGCAATACCTACCTTGATGATAGTGGTGCAGCGCGGCGAGACCCATCGACTGTGCATGTCTATAAATCAAGTTAAGGACACATTTAGAGCCTCGAAACCGGTGAAATTATTTTAATCGGAGTGACATGGGTAAGCTGAAATACTGCGATGGAAATGTACGTGTAAATGGTAAAACGCAATCATTTTGCCTCTAGAAACACCTCTGAATACATCAAAGATATATGCAAAACGCCAAAGCAAAGCTTCATGTTCACAATTCAGATGTCATAGCATGCAAAGACTTTTGGAAGCAATGAAATTCTACGGGAGACAAGTTTTCTCATGAAGTGTGAAAAACATTGGGGAAATATAGTGGGTGACGCCAAAGAGTGCAGCAAGTCCAAAAGAACCAAACGCTCCAAAACATCAAAATGTGAAGACTCACGATCCTCTCCTTCGGCGTAACTGGCTTGCTTTCCTTTTTGGCTGAAAATACGAGAATCACGACACAGATGATGATGAATAGACAGCAATGAGCTTTGTTATCTCGACTAATCTCTCATGAACTACGCAATAAAGGTTTTGCAGAAGCATTCGTTCTGAGCCAAGAACTTATGCTTTTGACTTTTTTGGACTCAGTATTGATGTCATATCTTAGCGTTTAATACTCAAGTTCTTAAGCTGTGCTATGAAAGGGTTCAGAGCTTTTGACGATTTACTGAAAGCGACTAGAATATGATTCCGTTGTTTCTTAGCAACGAAGCATTCAGCTTTAGCCGACGTTTCTTACGTAATCTATAAACTGCCATAAAGCGATTGATCGTTTCCATTGTGAACACGATTAGAGACAAACAATACGTCAGCTTTTTTTGACCGTAGGCCTCAACTAATACTTGCTTTCATTAAATTCGAACAATATATGGCGTGGTGAACAAGTCTAGATCTAGTTTGCAGTATAGCTTAGAACAAAATGGCGTCCGACATACTTCTAACCGCAAGAAGTGCATCCTTATCTAGCATATTCACAGGTTGACTTTTCGAAACCAACGGCCGCGGTCCTCGCAGCAGTGGCGATCGTGACCTCGAGCGCGATCGTGTGTGCGAAACATGAACTTTCCTCATTCTGAAACAGCGGAGTCAAGAGATCATAGCAAGAACGCAAACCCCTCGCATGACTTATATGGAAAACAATTTCGTAGCTTGCAGCTAGTATATTAGTCAAACAAAGCGATTTTCATTATGATAACGCTAAGGAAGGACAAGTTGTGCAGCAAAGAAAGCGCTAAGTATTGCTATTATACTGATGTGAACATTACGATATAACTAAAAACAGCAGATACAAACAGCCAGAAATGAAATAACAGTTGAGACCAAGTCGAAATGATGATTTAGCAACGGCTCGCAAAACTTGTCATGAATTGGAGTTAAAAACAAGTGCGACGATAATGATAAGGATTGGAGCTTTTGATGTTTCTTATCGAAAGTCCACACATCTACAGTGTACGAGTACTCCGATATGAAACAAAAGAAGCAACAATGTTTAGAGACCTACAGCTGAAAACAAAGCATAGGACAATGTTTCGCCAAGGAAGTTTACGGAAAAGTCCATAGAGTGAAAAAGAAAAGAGTATGATGAGCAAACAGCCGCAAACCATTACTTCACCGAGCCAATGGATGAGCATAAAAATCAAACGAATTGGAACAATTTGCGATGAAATGCTCAACAATATTTGTACAGACGAATTATCCATAGATTTTTTGCAGAGAAAAATTGGCGAAACGTGAAGGTGGGAATACCGTACACCAGCGTAGTGAAAATCTAAGTAGCTGGAGCGCGAAATCTTTCGGGTTAGTTGTCACCATGTTCGCTGATTTTATGGATTTTTTTTTCGCTTTTGCTTTTGTATGGGGTTTGTTCATGCATAGGAGCAAAGAGTAGATATCCTAGTTGTTCTAACTTGTCCTGCGATTTGAGCTGCTTTTCTTCGTTATTCTATCCGCATTGCTCAAGTTTGTTCCATATTGTTTAGCCTATAACCATTTCTTCTCGGTGTTCCATCTTGCATTCTAAAAGTCTGCTCTGTAAATTGAGTATAATCCTCCTCTCAGCCCAAATATTTTTCTGAGAATGATTGTTTTTTACGAAGAATGCATTCATAGATCACCATTCACTCCGTTTTAGTGTGGCTCTTTAGTAGAGCAGATATCTTTTGCATGTTTGTGAAGTCAAAATGCATCTGCTGGAATTGGGGACTGTTAAACTGAGTGCTGACATGTGTTTGATACAGTGCAGGATAAGGCTTCCTAGAGATCTGCTACCCTTCTTCATATGTTCCCCTCGTATTGTCGTTTGCGACGTTGTCTGCAAGATTTTCCTTATCTTACTGAGCAAAAATCTTTCCGGGTGAGAAATGTTGCGAAATCTTAGAGAGCACCATAAATAAGACTTCAGTGTTCTCTATTTAATCATCTCGTCGATATCCAAAAATTGAGCTTGTCGACGTTTTCTGCTACATCATTGAAGACAAAAGTACACTATCGGCTCTGGAAACTTTTGTATTTATAGACGGAAAAATGTCTTTGAAGCATTTTGAAAATTTTTTCGTTTTTTCCTCAGGCCAAATGTTGAGCTTTGCGACATGTTCACTGCAAAGAAGTCCTTACATCAAAATGTGAGACAAACTTTGCCAGCTTTTCTCCTGAAAGGTAAGAAAGTAATAAGTGCCAATTGTCCCCTCCTTTACACGGCTGGGGGTCAACGTTGCCCGCATAAAAGGGAGACGTAGACGAGCAGAAGGGAAACATTAGCAACGCTAGGATTTTCGTCATGCCAAAGCTGAAAAACTACTCCACAATGAAGTAAACAATTCTTTGCCTCTTTCTGTGCAGATCTTTCACAGTAGTGTTGTGTTTTTTTTACACTTAACCAATTTTGCTTAATTGCTCATGTCTGCATGGCCTGTTTAGAGAGATATTTTGTGCTATCCCTGAGAAATTCACTGTCTGCTTCTTAGCGAGACGTAGAGATCGAGCTGGTGCAGTAATCAAAGCTTATGTATTGTCTGCTTTCTTGTGCTGTTTGATGTGTAAGTTCGTCTGGTTGCTTGTCATAGCAATTGATTCATATGACAGAAATGCATGTACGCACCACAAAGCTAACGGAAGCAGTTATTCCCTTCGTAAAAAAACGCGGACCACGCATACGCAGACAGCTGCTGTGGCGTAGTTGTGAAAATCGGTCTTTTTGTAGTTTATGCTGGAGAAGAGTGTTGAGAGTTTTGCGCTAGTTGAAAAGAAGCACAACGTTTGACTACCTTTCTTTGTTATGCAACGCGGGAACGTTTTCCAGTTGTTTTTATCAGCTTTTACAAGTGATCGACTGCCAGTGACTGGTTGTATATGATGTTTTGGAAATCCCAATTAGTCTGCTATGGCAAAATTGGCTGTCATCTAGCCATTGCCTTCGCTTCTGTAGGTGTTGCTGTTTCTTGGAGTCATATGTCATCATATCTAGAATAAAAAATACCCTAGTTTCACTAGTACAGTACGCACCTGTTTCTCTTCTAAGGGACCGGCCATACTATTCCTGTGATTCCTGCACTCCTCGATTCCTGTGATTCTTGCGGGTCCCGTAACATTGTATGCATATTGCGAAAAAACAATGTATACTGAAATTCAAAGCGCTCCGTAGTGTGGCACATCGGAAATCGAGAGAAATCACCGGAATTTGCAAGGATTAAAGGAGTCGCAGGAATCACTCCCTGGAATAGTATGGCCGATCCCTAAATTCGGCCAAACTGAACAACTGAAACATTTCGCAACCAAAGGACCCTATACAGTGCTGCGAATTGCCTAAAGTATCGTGCGGCATATGTTTCGTTTCCCGAAACGCAACGAGCGGAGGGCTCGCATGGAAAATCGAAAAAGGTGCGTCTTGTACTCGTGAGATTAGAGTACTATCAGCAAAAATAAATCATATTAGAGAGTGCTCTGGGATGCAAAACCAAGTGAACTATGACTCATTCAATGTATACGAGTGTAAACCTCTTACTTCCAGCCGACCAGCTTCAGAGGCTGAAAAGTCTTTTGTTATCTAACAGTGATCCACTCACAGCTGATCACTACATGCAAAGCTGCACCGAGACAGATGCGTCATCCTACATCCATTCGATTTGCATGCGAACATTGACTTTTCTCGGGTTTTAACATCTCTGCTTTTCGTTTTCTTCACTTAGTTCTTGCTTACATTAGGTCTTCACTCCTCAGTATTCTCGGCTTACTCATCGCCGAGCAGTTTTCTCCACATATTATCATTTTTAGGCATACAATATGGATGTTGAGACGGGGGAATCCGATTCATCATTTGTTACTTATATTTTTGGTCTAGCCGTATTTGGAGTACTCTTAGCGCTTGTGAGGTAAGACCTGTACTCGAGCGATTGATGTTTTAATGAAAATATCATCTCATCGATTGTTGTTTTGATTATCATCAAATACTTTATCAAAACTTTCCGCTTGTGTCAGCTTCGGGTGCACATGACTTACATCAGCAGAACAAAATGCACTTTTTGGCCTTTTACTTTTCTAAATCTAGGGTAAATGGATATTTGGATCTCTCATGTAGAAACTGACTGAAGACTTACAAGCAAGTCATGCATAAGGCGCAGCTCAAATGATCCACTCGATGCGAGTAATTCAAATTTTTTCGCCCAAACCGTATTCTTTGTGGCCCGGTAAGCGCACTGTCCCAGACGCAGACTGCCTGCTTGATATAGGTACTTGTGCGAAAGTTTAAGCTGATTTTCGATCACGATGTTGAGTCGGGGCTGGACAATGGCTAAGAAAGGTCTCCCACTCCGTTTTTGCATGAAAAGTCCAGTTATCCGTAAGTGTAAGAAGGGGAATAAAGGCATCCTTTTGCTGTAGATTTAATGCCTTTTGTCCGTGAATGGGCTAACAGTGCAAAAGAAATTAAGTTCTCGGAATCTGTTCATGGCGAAACAATATTCGGGAGGTTAATGAAAGAGTTGATAATTTCTTCGTTGCAGGAAGTACTTCAAAGGTGCACAGTTTGATGAGCGTGTATCTGCAAAAGGACTTGTGGCAGTGGTGACCGGTGCTAATAGCGGTATCGGTTTAGAGACTGTGCGCGGCTTGAATCTGGCCAAAGCAAAGGTATGTTTTGCCATAATTTTCAAACCTTGGCGGCTGTCAGTCATACGATTCATTATCAAGGTTTATATGCTCTGTCGAGATGAAAAACGAGGCTCCGAAGCGAGGATCAAACTGGCCAAGGTAGCGATTTATTTCTGAGTTCTTTGAGAACTCTTATCACATAAACGGATCAATATTTCGTTGATTTCTCAAATCGTTAAGATACGTATCAACTTGATCATAAGCTTGCGCACCAACATAAGCTAAGGTAGTTCCTAACGATATCGATAAACAAAGAACGACTAAGATTGCTTGTCTCTTCCATGTTGTCGGTCGAGGACATAGTGGGATACGTGAATAACTGTCCGGTGGGCGATAGCGCATGAACGATGGTGGTTGGACCTAAAACAGTTACAACAATGAGGTTAAACCTGGATATCTGTATTCAAGTAAATTCGAATAGGTTTTTCTTCTTAGAAAAATTTTCTCTCCATTGATCTCTTTTTTCTTTCGCGGGGTTATAACTCGAAGATAGCAAAGCTGCTTTCTAATAGAAATTGAGCATTTGAGCACTGACAGCAATGAGAATAATTTTAAGCGATGGTTCTTAACTTGGCTTGTGAATCTTCGTGCTACTATATCAATTTTGTCAAATAACTGAATGTCAGAGTGCATGTATCTAGCTGCGATGTTAATTTTGCAAACTTTATAGACCAGATTCAATTACTTACTCATGACTCCAGTAATCTTATCATTTTCTTGCATCACAATTCCTCCATGAAATCTACATATTTTATATGCTCTAGACGAGTCCATCACTTCATCTCTACCAAGTAAATCTTTGTCGAGAATCATTTTTGTTCTCTTCACCGCTTTCCTGTTGCTGTTCTTTTTTTGCTTACCGTAGTTTCATCAATCTTTTTACTTTGCAGCAACTGTGGATTGGAGAAAAACGTCGATGTTTTCAAAAAAAAAAAAAGAATGGCTATGACTCAAAGCTGCAAAAGTTTTGTTACACTAGATTTTTTTCCGATTGTTATGTTGAAGATATTCAACTTTCTGATTCATACTTCAGCACAAAGAAAGATTGTAGAATGCTATCTTCTTATAGTAACGCGATCAAACTGGGCTACTATCAGGCGATGATGCGACAGGTGATTCTTGCCCTTCAAAATGAGCTGGACATGGTTTTTGTCACAGGAGTTTGAATATAGCAGAATGTTACATGACACAAATTTATCCCAAATTCCAGTAAAATTACGCATAACATGCTTTTCATTCTAATTTTCGCTATTCTAATTATCCATAAGCAGCTTTGCACTTGGTTCAGTTTTTCCTAGATGCATCTGCAGCGAGCGATCGCTGATCTCCTTCCATTCACCCTTTCTCGTATAATGTCCGACTAAAATTTCTCTAAGAAACATGTGTAGGTTACGACTATATAATAAATTCTGGTGCAGGGGATCACTGCCGAAAAAAGAATGAATGTGAAAATGTCGCATCATTGCTCAAATGCTGATGATATTATCTCAAAGCTAAAGAAATTCTAGAAGGGCTCTTTGACGAAGTTGTTGATCACCTCTAGCGGTGGTACCGGTCTTATTCTTGCCAGCTCTGGATCAGAGCGATAGGCAAATGACGTTGACGCTTTGTCCCAGGAAGGCATACTGCATAAATTGCTTCAAATTCTGAAAAATACCGTTTCTTCTTTGCACTCTTTCTGAGCTTCAAAGTAAAGGAGGATTAGAGAAGTTACAACTAATGTAGTAAATAGTATCTCTTGTGAGAGAGTTTATGATAGTTTTGGATGATCATAATGGTTAGCAGATGGGATGCGATTCTACTCGGCTTACTGTTGTGCGCTGCGATCTCGCCGATTTTAGCAGCGTTCGTGATTGTGCCAAAGAGATTTTAAAAGGTAATTTTAAGCTGTAATGCTAGCAGAAAATCAAATCGACGATTTCAGAAGAAGACAAGATAGATATACTTATCAATAATGCTGGAGTGATGTTTTATCCGAGGTATGAAAAAACTGTTGATGGACACGAAATGACATGGCAAAGCAATCATCTAGGTACGAGGAAATTACTCTTTGATATATTTCACAATTCTTTAAAATTTTTGAGTATTTGAAAACTTCAAAAATGAATACACGAGCAATTCCGGTTCGGGTTGGCTCCTTAGGCGAGGTATTGGCACTAGAGGAAAATATTCACCGTAAAATGCACTTTAAAAGTATAAGGGACTTCATCTTTGATGCTTTCTTCAGCTTATATCACATGCTTTCCTACTGTAAAGCGGTGAAGAGCTACAAAAAGACACAACACGTATGTTTGCTTTGATTAATGACGTCTACCGGCCCTTTTCGAGCATGTTGTGCGATAGGTTTAGCAGTAGCCCTCCCTCCCCCGTCCACCTTATAATATGATACTTTGCTTGGTAAAGAATGTGCGGAACTGGTGATAGCATCATTTCGAAAGATGAGAGGTTCCTGAACAAGATTGCTAATGAATGGCATGCAAAATTATTCATTGGTTCGATACAAAGCCTTCGATGATGATCCCTGCGCACGATGATAAACAGGTTCTTTGCACGGTAGCGAGCTCCAAAATAGCAACAAAAGGGAAAGATTCTTTTGCAAACATGTTTTGCTGAGATACCTCATCAAAAGTATATCCTGGTGTAATGTATTCAAAAGCCAAAGCAAATTTATATTATTGTCACCGATACCAGTCTGGGATGAGGGATAATGGAATGAATTATCATTACTAATTAAGACGTCTGCTACAAGGATGCATTTCTTAAGTCGACAAAAATAATTTCATGGTAGTTCGCGTAGCTGCGGAATTATCAAACTTAAAAAATGGAACTTTGGGAAGATGGAGGAAATCCGAAGCGTTTAAAAGATGAATGTTCTAGTAGTGGTGTTATTATATTGGACCCTCATAGCCAACTGTGGCACAAATCGCACATGTAGACGAAGTAGACGCGCCATAAAAGGAATGAGAGGCTGATGTGAAAAGGAAGTTAATACGTAACTATTTGAGTACCCCATTATGACCTCGGTAGCCCTCATGTTGGAGAAATACAGGCAGCGCGTAAGACCGAACTTTGATCAGTGCGCGGAGTGGACGAAGACTAGTCCACAAATCGCTACTTTTTGCATTGATCGAATAGTACGAGAAGTGATCTACGACTTTACTTGTTGTACACATAAATTTTGATGATAAGCAGGCAGATGGGATCATATTGGTATGAAAAGTACGCTGTTATTGCTACGCCATCCAAGGAACTTGAAAATATGGGATTGAAATTTTAAGAAACGTCTGTTACCGTTTTAGGCTTGCTTTTCACCAAACTGCCCCATTTCCTTTATACTTGGACTAATTTATATTCTCCTAGTCAAAAGCTGCACGATTTTGCATGATTTCAGTTGGTTAGTTCTCTGTTCTGATCAATCAGCACTGACTAAACATTTTCTCCTACATCTTTAATAGGGAGAAGCTTATCCGATTGGTCACCGCTCATCTTCAGTGTCGGGCACCCTGTAATGGGACTTAAAATTAGCTTTTTGATTGTGCCGAAATTGCTCCAATTTTGGTAAGTCGTAGTGATAGCATATTCCTAGACTTCACACTATGACTGTCACTCAGGTCTTTTTCCTGTTTTGAAGTCATTGCTGTGCATTTGTCTGTCACTAAACTTACACTTAGTATTTGCTGTTTACTGCAGTGGTAGCGCTGCTATCGCTGCTTGCTGATAGCCGTGAGAGTATCCAGACGTCAAAAAAGTGTATGTAGAGGGGAGAGAAATAATGAGACTAGTCATCAAGGTTACATCTCAATCTCATAAATGCAGGCATCCTGGCTGAGAGGGTGGAAAGGGTAGTAATAAGGAGTACTGAAACAAAAATTTTTCTTCTGTGGTCCTTTTCCTTTTCTGGATTTTGTCGAAAATGGCTGGCTCATACTAACAACAAATTTACATTTTTCGTCACACTAAGCATATTCATTAGTGCGCGCCTCTTTTTCATTTTATACCCTTCTTCACCCTTTTCGTGATTGCGGAACCCACCCTAGAGTCTGTTCCAGGTTGTTCTAAATTGAAGAAGTTCCTTATGCGTCATTTGAGTATAAAAAATTGCATTGGTCTGCAGCTCAAAACGAAAGGAGGGCCCAAAATGCATGATGTTTATCGCATTAGCTTGCATTATCTGAATTCTCTAATTTTCATAATTTTTTCAGTTTTTATAAAACATGCCTTGCCCGAGTTTTGTAGTTTGTTTTGTAGGTGATATGAGCTCTACCTTGCTGATTATGAGGGTTGGCGAGGAGAAAATGTAAAGTGAATAGGAGGGAATTATTTCACCTCGACCTATTAACAGTTTTGGATCACTTTTCACGATCTTCAGTCATAGCTTATGATCGGAATCCGACTTACGCTTAATTTGTTTGCAGGTCACTTCCTTCTTACTGAGCTCTTACTACCAGCGCTCGAAAAAGCTCCGAAGGCACGAATCGTGAATGTTTCTTCCAGACGTCATCTAAGTAGTAAAGCTTTGGATCTTGCTACTATTGATGATAAGAAAAAGTTTGGCATCTTCGCTCCATATGATCGCAGCAAGCTAGCTAACGTAAGTCTCTGAATGTGACACTTCTTCATCTTTGTGAAAGTGAGGAAGTGAGTACCTTTTCATCGCAATGCAACTGGGTCTTACATAGCGTTCGTGCGTTCGAAAGGGGAACTAAATGCCAGATTCGTGTTTCTTTGATCAAGTGACTGACTATTCAGGTGATGCATGCTCGTGAGCTAAGCCGACGTCTCCATAAGCAAGGACTGCACCATGTGTCTGCTAACTCGCTCCATCCCGGAACAGTGAATAGCAATCTCAGTCGTCATACTCTGCTTGCCAAGTCACCCCTCAAGGAGATCAGTTCCCCCTTCAGGTGTGTGCTTGAAACAAGATTGTATTTTTTGCTCATTTATCGAGTTGCAGGTGGCTTTTCTTGAAAACTGACCGCGACGGAGCACAAACATCACTGTACTTGGCTCTCAGTAAGAAGGCCGATGGCATTAGTGGAAAATACTTTGCGTATGTTTGGTCTTTCTGTCGTAGTACTTAGTAGCAGAGAATTCTTGCAGAGATTGCAAACTGGCTTCTGAAAATCCGCTTGCCCTGAACGACCAAGCATGCGAAGATTTGTACAACTACAGTCTTGAACAATGTGGAATTGCTGGATAAAACCTTTGATTCTCGTTTGTAGACCGATCATGATTTACTGACATTGCTCCACTTCTTGCCTTGTTTTGCTAATTTGAGATTTTTCTGAGTTTTTGAGTGCAATTTTAGGCTACTAGTTACTATACATTGTGCACAAAACGCTTTGACTTTTGCTGTAATATAACAATATCTGCCTGTTTAATAATGCTTTTGGGTATGCTGAGTCGCACCCTGGAATGAAATATTTTTGTATTTTGTGCTTTAGTGCAACTTATTTTAGCGGAGCAATCCAATTTGTTGAAAAAGCAGAACTAGTTAGAAGAGTGTGGTCAAGACTTATCGTTGCTTGTCCGTCTGCTCTACAACGTGCAAGTTATTTCGAACACTCAAAATTTTCACTTGCAAAAGCATGAATTGGACTTAGGCGTAAGGCATACCTCGCGCGATTACAGTCGCTGCGCGATTTGGCATAAGAGCGACTCTTTGTAATTCATTGTTAATGCGCTTCCTTTGGTCAGGACCCATTTGCAACAGCTTGCACAACCCCCTAAGCGTTCGAGAAGCGCGCACGATAAATCTGTAGAAATCTGGCAAATCGCCAAGTCGCTTGAAAGCGGCGATTTGACCGAATCGCGTCAGGTATGCCTTAGGCCTTAGGGAGCAAGTAGCTTACAAGGGAAGGATAGTTGATCGAAGTGGCTTCTCAACAAAAAATGTATATAATCTCGTACAGCATTGAACGCCGATCCCAAATTTGCTTTCCTTATTTGCAAAGCGCTACTGATAGGAAAGTTAGGGGGATTTTTGAAGCAAAAATGTGAATGCGCGGCTACTATAAAATCGTTTAGAACTGTAGTCTGCCAGCTCAAATGGGGTCATGACTACTGCCAGATCGTCTTATGCAGCTAATACCTTCAGTTTAATAAACTTATGCTAGTCATTACATCTTTAAAGCGCCGGGAAGTCCTCAACACATGTTTTCGTCTTAACCAGACCCTCTGAATTCTTGCCTCAAATAATTCCCCGACTCCCTTCGCAGAAGCGCTTTGCAGATACCGAAAGCAGATTTGGAATCAGTGTTCTATGCACTATAAGACAGTATACATTTCATTTGGAAACTCCACATCGAGCAAGTGTCATTCCCTTGTTAGAAAATTAGCTTACAAGGAAAGGATACTCGGTGACCTTGGTCTTTTGAAATGAAACCAACATCAAATGCATCTTGAAGCGCTGATTCCAAATCTGTTTTCATTATCTGCTGTGCGCTCTTCCGATAGAAATTATGGACATGGAAGTAGAAAAAAACGAGAATTGCTGTATTGTTGCCCTTCTTCGAGATTTGATACGATAGGCGGCAAGTTGTATGTGAACAAGACCATATGTTGATAGAAAAAAAGGGCTTTAGACAATGTCGGCAGTGTCGATGGGAGATGGTTTTTTTCGAAATCGGCATTCCAACGAAGAGCTACAGAAATTGTGCGGAACTTTTGAAACAACTTACTACACCGACTTGCGTTCATTGAAAATTTGGATGTGGTTCTTTCAAGTTTTCTTATTTTTTCGAATGTAATTAACGCGATTCATGCACTTTGACGTTCCAAGCGATCTTTGTGCTTCGGCGAACGCGAGCCAATATTTGACTAGTGTAACGTCCCTTGTTGCCAAGGTGAGCGAAGCGCTTTCTTATCGAAGATCTGAGAACTACGTATTCTATCAGCCATTCGATAGACAATTTATGACTCTTATCCAATGTGCTTTGTAGCTTCTTCTGTTCTTCGATTATCACCGACTCTCTCGGTGAAATCTTTTCTGCTTCTTGATGCTGGATGCTCAAGTTCAATGCTTTCTGAATCGATTTTTGTATAGTGCAACAGATGCTAGCTGCGAATAAATTGATAAGTTTGCGGCTGAATCTAACGCCGCAGTGAAGTAGTGATTCTATCTTAGACCAATGCATAATCTAGAGTAGCCCGACATTTTAACATTTTTAATGACATAAAGTTTTGAAAGCATATGCTCATTGTCGGTCTTTGCAACAACAGTCATTTGAATTCATGATGTCGACCTTGAGTATGAATTTTTTGAGAGACTTAGAATTCCGGGCAGTCGCCGTGTACTCAGCATATCAAAGTTGTTGGAAGAGAGCAAAAATGCTCCGTCATGAATGATTTATGTTTAGTACTAGGATTGAAAGAGGAGAGCTAGTCTATAAGTTAGCATTGAAGTTTTTCGCTTTTTCTGAACGATTTAGCAATTCCACATTTGATGCAGCTTTTCTATACCCTTCTGGGGAGAAGGTGAAATGCGATCCCCCCAGAGGTTACCAATTCATGAGCCCAGTTTGAGCTACGCAAACCTTTCAAATTATCAGGCTGTGCTCTAGCTTACTAGCTCTCTAAAGTTACTAATTACTGATACTGACAGCTTTTGAAGAAAAATTTACCATTTATTTGTTATTGTTACTAGCGACCCTACGGGTCGCTAGCAAGTGGGTAGGGGCAGATACAATATAAGGGCTTAATTGTGATTATAAATATTTCTAAATAAGTTTTTTATTCCTTCCCTGAGAACATTTTTGCGAAGCATTCTACAAGGAGAACTGTTCGAAGAAGCAATAACTCCACAAATCATTCAGCATTTCTCGAAATTCCTGCTGCAACCATGCATGGGGTATTATTTTTCTCTCCTTTACCACGCTCTTTCTGCAAATTTCCCCTCCTCACAGAGACATTCAGATACCCCCCCCCCCCATCTTTTCTACCCTCTCAAAGAGAATTTGCTCTACCAATTCTTCTCAACACTTTCCATAGAAGATCGCCAAGGAAGTAGAAGAACACCTATCGTTTTAGAAGTAGAAATACACCCACAACAATTGTGTTCTACAAAAAACACTTCTCTCAGAAACAACTCCGACAGCAACGAAATCAATCGCTTAAGAACTTTGTCAGAAAAACTTTTCAATACACCAAAGAAATATGAAGCTTTACTACACAAGTAGATCCCTCCCCAAAAAGCACACTACTGAGCCACCTAAAGACCGTCAATCATAAGAACTGCATAAACGTACAAAAAATTTGTTTCCCTGTCCAATTAAATTGCCCTACGTGCCGCTTGAAGACCGTTCAAAAATTATAAGAACTCCCAAACGTACAAAAAATTTGTTTCCCTGTCCAATTAAATTGCCCTACGTGCCGCTTGAAGACCGTTCAAAAATTATAAGAACTGTCCCAAACGTACAAAAATCTCTCTTCCTGCGCGATCAAGTTGCCCTACGTGCCGCTTGAAGACCGTTCAAAAATTACAAGAACTGCCCCAAACGTACAAAAATTTGTTCCCCTGCCCGATCAAGTTGCCCTACGTGCCGCTTTAAGACCGTTCGAAAATTATAAGAATTCCCAAACGTACAAAAATCTGTCCCTCTGCCCGATCAAATTGCCCTACGTTCCGCTTTAAGACCGTTCAAAAATTATAAGAACTGCCCCAAACGCACAAAAATTTGTTCCCCTGCCCGATCAAGTTGCCCTACGTGCCGCTTGAAGACCGTTCGAAAATTATAAGAACTCCCAAACGTACAAAAATCTGTCCCCCTGCCCGACCAAATTGCCCTACGTGCCGCTTACACACCGATTCCTAGTTGAAAGCACCAGCGGGACCCATTCCCTGTCCAATTAAATGCCCTACGTGCCGCTTGAAGACCATTCAAAAATTACAAGAACTGCCCCAAACGTACAAAATCTGTTCCCTTGCCCGATCAAATTGCCCTACGTTCCGCTTTAAGACCGTTCAAAAATTATAGGAACTGCCCCAAACGTACAAAAATTTGTTCCCCTGCCCGATCAAGTTGCCCTACGTGCCGCTTGAAGACCGTTCGAAAATTATAAGAACTCCCAAACGTACAAAAATCTGTCCCCCTGCCCGATCAAGTTGCCCTACGTGCCGCTTGAAGACCGTTCGAAAATTATAAGAACTCCCAAACGTACAAAAATCTGTCCCCCTGGCCGATCAAATTGCCCTACGTGCCGCTTGAAGACCGTTCAAAAATTATAAGTGCCCCAAACTTACAAAAATTTGTTCCCCTGCCCGATCAAGTTGCCCTACGTGCCGCTTGAAGACCGTTCAAAAATTATAAGAACTCCCAAACGTACAAAAATCTGTCCCCCTGCCCGATCAAATTGCCCTACGTGCCGCTTGAAGACCGTTCAAAAATTATAACAACTGCCCCAAACTTACAAAAATTTGTTCCCCTGCCCGATCAAGTTGCCCTACGTGCCGCTTGAAGACCGTTCAAAAATTATAAGAACTGTCCCAAACGTACAAAAATCTGTCCCCCTGCCCGATCAAGTTGCCCTACGTGCCGCTTGAAGACCGTTCGAAAATTATAAGAACTCCCAAACGTACAAAAATCTGTCCCCCTGCCCGATCAAGTTGCCCTACGTGCCGCTTGAAGACCGTTCGAAAATTATAAGAACTCCCAAACGTACAAAAATCTGTCCCCCTGCCCGATCAAGTTGCCCTACGTGCCGCTTGAAGACCGTTCGAAAATTATAAGAACTCCCAAACGTACAAAAATCTGTCCCCCTGCCCGACCAAATTGCCCTACGTGCCGCTTACACACCGATTCCTAGTTGAAAGCACCAGCGGGACCCATTCCCTGTCCAATTAAATGCCCTACGTGCCGCTTGAAGACCATTCAAAAATTACAAGAACTGCCCCAAACGTACAAAATCTGTTCCCTTGCCCGATCAAATTGCCCTACGTTCCGCTTTAAGACCGTTCAAAAATTATAGGAACTGCCCAAAACGTACAAAAATTTGTTCCCCTGCCCGATCAAGTTGCCCTACGTGCCGCTTGAAGACCGTTCAAAAATTATAAGAACTCCCAAACGTACAAAAATCTGTCCCCCTGCCCGATCAAATTGCCCTACGTGCCGCTTGAAGACCGTTCAAAAATTATAACAACTGCCCCAAACTTACAAAAATTTGTTCCCCTGCCCGATCAAGTTGCCCTACGTGCCGCTTGAAGACCGTTCAAAAATTATAAGAACTGTCCCAAACGTACAAAAATCTGTCCCCCTGCCCGATCAAGTTGCCCTACGTGCCGCTTGAAGACCGTTCGAAAATTATAAGAACTCCCAAACGTACAAAAATCTGTCCCCCTGCCCGATCAAGTTGCCCTACGTGCCGCTTGAAGACCGTTCGAAAATTATAAGAACTCCCAAGCGTACAAAAATCTGTCCCCCTGCCCG